GTCACGCCTGAACGAACTTGAAAACAAAACCACTGAACATTTGATAGAGACAGTTGTATGTTCGCTGTTGACTGCTGCCACGTTTTGCGCGGCACACATAGTGCGTCACCAGGTCGTTGAAATCACCTGAAATGTCAGATGCACTCTCACAAATGTGCATATCGTCACGAGCAAGCACACCCCCCCGCAAGCAACAGAGAAGACCACCATTGAACCAAAACGAGCTCACGCGTCTTAACACCGCAACTCTATCAAACTGTACTTAGCAGATACAAATCCATCCTTGCTACAGGACACCTGATACGTAAGCATTATTCCCAGACAGGGCGACAACACGAGTTTGCTTCTGGTTGCACACTTTCTGGCCAGATCAGCAAGCGACTCGAAACGCTAGTGAAAGCTCAGACACACTGCGGCAATAGACCCGAGCACACAAACTGCAAAACCAAACAATTATAGCAGCAGGTCCACTAGGTGTCCCCCACATAATCCGTATGCTGCTGTACTTAGATAGAGCGGATATTCTCCAGGGCAGGCAATGCAAGTGCAAGGGCAATGTCAACTATAGACAAAAGCAACTGGTTTCGTGAAACGTCATGCCAAAGTGGTGTTTGGTGAAATACCAAAACCGATTGAAAATCTTTTTGCAATTGATTATTTATACTACACACGATGCAAGGCGTTGCGTATCGTGTTCGCCTCCAATGATGGTAGGAATGTGCTTCGAGAACCTTGCTGCTCGATTGTCAGCTGGAAAGGATGCCAGTGGAAAAAATATAATGCACCTACTCAGAGCAAAGGTAAAAGCTTTCCTCATCTGGCTAGACCAGAAATATCCCCCTACAGAACGGACTCCGTTTCGCGTCACCCAACAGCTCAACAATGAGGTAGCGAGTACACGATTTTTCGTCCAAGCGCCAAGTGTGCGTATTTTATGTTGGCCGCTCCCTAGGCTGCGTTCCAAGGGCCGAGTCGTGAATATTACTAATGGTTTGATACCAGTCACTGCCAAGCCGCGGTTGCCCTCTAGCTCGTTTTCCGTTGCACAGATACTGCGTCATCGATTAACTGATATTATTTATGTCAGCAGTTGGTTCTCAAATACATATCGGAGCCCTGAACAATCCGGCCCCAGTAGATAGTACAGTAAAACACAGGTAAAGCAAAACCGGCAGTCCCTTCCTCTCACACTGTAACTCCCCAGCTTTGCGCACCTGCGCATATACATCCATTCCATTACACAGCATGAAATATGCGAATGCCCAAGACCCCCAGGAGCAGATGAGTAAGCATACCTTCTGGCGAACCAGACAGCGATCGCAACCCCAGAGGTGTCGCAAGACTGCCGCCACCGACCCGCGCAAATAAATTTCATAAATACATGATTCTAAGCATAGCGTATCTCTATCACTTGGCCAAATGATGACTACATTCCTATCGGTAGACGGAGCCCAAGCAGGCGAGCCAAGCGCAAACTTGCCACAAACTTCAGGACGAAGTACCTAGCTTCACTGAGGCGCATTTCTTCATTCCCTTCCTGTTGGAAAAGCGATGATAATCCAAAGGGTCCAAGAAATAGACGACCTATACGGCACGTGAACGAGGTTACTCTCCATAACGCTCGCCCCTAGTGATAAAGGAAAGGCACTAGGGACATGCTGAAGCGGGATGGTTAATCGAGAGAATGTCAGCGGCAAATTCATACGTTGCACATACCCTGAACACAGAACAGCTTAACCAATCTAGCCAAGCCAGAAGCACTCCCCTGCGCTACGACGTTCGCCTTCTTCTGTGCAAACGCCACGCGAACTCAAACAATTCGTGTTGGCCGCGCCGTCGGCCGCTGCCCGCCCTTCGAACTTCCCGTCTTCCCGGGACGCAGACACCAACATACCTAGTCAGCCTGATCGCCAGTGCTATGAACCGTTTGACACGAACCACCACGCAGTCGTAGCTGCCTGTCACAGCATATTGCACCGTACCTAGACTGTCTGATCCATTCACTGAAACGCGTTTAGTGCCCGACTATGTCACGAAAACGCATAGTGCAGCAAGCGCCAAACAACAGTAGACACCAAAGAAGAGCATACCTAAACCAAATCGCGGTCCCACTTCGTCTCACGCTGCAACCCCATACACAACCGCACAAGCAGATATACATCCACGCCTATTCCCATACAACCTGGAACGTCACATTACCCACAACCGCACCGATAAATATATTTGCTTTACTTGCTTTACACTTGCCGTGAACTGCTTTAGCTTCTGAAAGCGTCCCATATCCGTTTTACTATGTGCATACTTCCTGGCCAGAAGAGAGCCCGACCGCCACGCCAGAGTAGGCATTGAATCGCTGGACTGATTGAACTGCGCGCAAACGCTGCATAACCGCACGCTCAGCTAGGTCTAAGCCAAACACCAAACACTGCGTATACTTTCATCTGCAGACTGAGCCGACTTTAACAAGGGCAGGCAAAGCAGGTGCAAGCCCAACACCAACTGAACATTGATGCAGCTGGCCTCGCGAAATGTCATGTCCAACAGGTGCTTGGTTAAAAATGGTCGAGCAATTGAAGGTATAATGCGCATGAACCGATGCGCACTGTATCATGTTCGCTTCCAATGATAATAAAATTGTGCTGAGAACACCCTTCTACGACATGGTTAGCTTGAAAATACATAAATGACACATTCACAAAGTGTAGACACAACACAGCGCTACACACATCGCCAAACAGAAGCATCCTCCTGCGCTATGAAGTTCAACTTCATCTGTGCCAGCTCTGCCTGGGCCTTACAAGTTTTCGTTGGCTGAGCCGTCGATTGCGGCCGGCATTTCGTTATTCCGCTCCTCCACAAGGCCAAGCTGGCTGTCAATGCTACTAACTCTTTGATACAAACCACCGCAGAGTAGCATAGCAGCTGGTGGTCACTTATTCGGGTCAGCTAGGGATGCGCAAAATAGTGCGTATACTCCCATGGGCAGACCAGACTCACTCGACCCAAGGCAAGCGAGCCAAACGCAAGCGACGATGCATCTGTATACGCGAGCATCTTTTCCCAGTCGTTTCCTTTTGGATGGCCAACGATAATCTATACTCGTTAAGACGTACGGGAAGAAGCATGTGAGAGCAGATCATATGCCTGCTTTCTGCGTGCCTCAGCGTACTGCACTGGAGTGCCTTAGACACTTTGCCTTGCGAAGACGATCTCGAACAGGTAGGTCGTGATTCATTCGCAAATTGCACATATTCCCACTACAGAACAGCATATATGACGTTCCGACCCTAGCCAAACAATCCTACACCCAGGCATTTGCTTCTACTTGTGTTACCCAATAGTTAACAAGGATTGACGGGATTTGCGCCCTATTTTGCAGGCTTCATAAACATTGACACAATTCGTGTTGGCCGAGCCCCCCGGCTCGCCTCGCCCTCCGCTACTCCCCTCCTCCGCAGGGCACCTAGCATCAGCTTCTAGCATGAGCTTCTAGCTTTCCGCCAATATTACTAACCGTTTGACACGAGTCACCGCCTCATCGTTGCTGCATCGTACCGAATATTGTGCTGCACATGTGCTTATCACTGATTCAGTTAAATCGTTTGTGATATCAGACACTGTCTCGCTGACGTATACTGCAGCGCCAAAACATCCCGCAATAGTTAAAGCCAAAGGATAGTCAGGCCATAGCAAGGCGGGCTCCCAATTCACTCCCAGTTGTTTTCACATTGACACTCTATACACCTTCACACGTACGCCCGCACATATCCATGCCTGCCGCCAGACAGCTTTAAACATAGCAGTTCCAATGGCATCCCAGAGCATATGGGCATACGGCCTGGGAAAATTAGCGAGCGATCGTGACGGTAAAGAAGGGGGTTGTCACACTGCGCACCTAGACAACCGGGGCATCGTTATTCCCGAAATACTATCATACATGAACGGCCAGGTCGTGGATACTACTGGCCGATTCGCGCAAGCCACCATTTCGTCGCTGTTCCCTTCTACCGCGTTTTGTGCTGCACGTATACTGACTGTTTCACTTCGATTGTTCGTAGTCCCAAACTATGCCTCGCAAACGCACGCAGCGCCAGAAAGAACCGTCCCATAAGGTGCCAACGAAGAGCTCGGGTAAAGCAAAACTGGCCGCCGCCGCTTGCTACACTGCAACTCCGCAAATTTCTTATGTATATATGCATCCACGCCCCCCATCAGACAGTCATCCTTAAGTGCAGGCGTATACATATCTGTGGAACGAAGACGATTTTGCTTCGCATGCTTCAGCCTTTGCGTTTTAGTTGCTAAACGTCTCGTACCTCCTCAAACTCTGGTCGTTAAGTATGCGCATACTCTCTGATCAACCAGCAAATGCTTGCAAACGCTAGAAAAGACTTCGCCACGCCGCGGCCAAGGACCAACGCAGACAAACTGTAGAACCGCACGATGCTTACGCATTGTGAGGTTCTACAGTTTGTGCTTGTGCCCAGCTACAGAACCAGTCACCTCCCACCGTAAGGTACGGCTGATATCAACCAAGGCAAGCAAACAAAGGTCAAGCATAATGCCAACTGTAGGACGAAGCAGCTGGCTGCATAGCGCATGTGAACCCTGGTGCCCTGTACACAGTGCGCCTTGAATACAAGTGGAAAATGCTACGGACGCTATGTCGGGAGACTGCTAACTAGATAAAAAAACTGTGACTCATTCATATGTTGGTCATTCCTCAGGCACAAGACAGCTTAGCTGGTCTCGCCAAGACAGAAATGCTTGCCTGCGTACGAGTTCCAGCTACCCTTTTGCATGCTCCACTTGGCTTTCCACAATCATGTTGGCCGCGCCCTAGGCTGTGACGTGTCCCTCGCAATTCCTCCGCTCCGGAGAACAACTGCCATCGTACGTAGCTCGGCCGATCGCCAGTGCTACTAACTTTCGACATAAAGTATAGCGTAGTCGCTGCTGCATCCTACTACTTCGCGCGTATAGTGCCTCACTATGTAAGTGGCATCCGTAATGACATCCGTAATGCCAGAATTCGGTTCTAAAATGCATATTTGCACCGCCTCCCGCGCCACCAGATGCAGACACGCAGATATGCATTCATCCGTGTGTCCATACAAGCTGAAGCGTAACACTAACCATAATCGAACCGAGCAGGTGCACTTGCGCCTAAGCAGATACTTGCTCGCCAAGAAAGGGCGCCATCGTACGCTTGCAAAAGATTTCACCATACAGGCGCTGTAAAGGCGGGCACACAAACTGAGTAACCCAGGAAGTTCACGAGTGCAGATTCCCTAGGCCTCCGCCGAATACTCCGTATGCTCCTCCCTGAAGGCAGAACATACTTCAATCAAGGTAGTGGAACAAAGCCTAATCCCAATACCAACGGTTACACGATACACATGGCTGCATGGGAAGTCCGTGGAGAAATCCCGTCTTTTCAAAGACCCAAGGGGCTCGCAAATGCTCAATCTCGAAAACTTGCAAAACCATAATATCTTGCATCACATTCGCCCGTAACAATTATGGAAAAGCGAAAGGAAGGCACTGCCGTGACATTGCTACCTCACAAAAAGTACCAGTGATGCATTCATAAACTGCGCTCCCTTCGCATACCGGAGAGCTTGGCTAGTCTAACCAAACTAGAAATATCTGCCTGCTCTTCGAGTTCTGTTTCGAGCAGGCTCCGCGCGAATTTACACTATTGGTCTTCGCCGTGCCTTCGGCCCCGGCCCGCTCTTTGCGCCCCTGTCCCCACAGAACAACTGCTGACGCACCTAAACGAGCATGCTGGTAATCGCTTGGCACATGCCAGCGCGTAGCCGCTGATATCTCCTACCAAGTATTGCACTGGATGCATACTGAATCCCCAGTTTACTGAGATTCTCTATAATGTCAGGCTCTGTCTCGCACACGCAGATACTCCCCCGGAAAAGCCTGGCCCAAGTAGGTACCAAAGGAGAGCCCGACTAAACCAACCCCGCACCCGAATTCCTTTCACATTGTGACGCCATACGCCTGCGTTGCATTCAGGCACATACATCTTTGCCTCAGACAGAAAGCCCAAAATGTAGGCATACGCATGCAGAGAAGGTGAGCTTCCTTCTAGGTGCATACAGCCTGGCGAAACCAGTAAGCAGTCGCAAACGCCGTACATGGCTCAGCAACACCGCAACCGCAGACGCGCACTTAAACAGCATAACCAAACGGTGCTCATTCATGCAGGTCTCCTGGCTCTCTGCCAAATAGTTTGGTACTCCTATCGGCAGGCTGAATCACTTTCAAGCAGGGGAAAAGCAGCAGGACCAAGTCTGACACATTGCAAGGTGATTATATAAGACGCTTTTGCCGAATCAGTGGCTTTTTTAAGACCAAACAAAATCGACTGGGGTCTCATACAAGGCACATCAACGAATATACCCTGTATCACGTTAGTCTCTAGTGGCAATGGAAGGCGCTGCGAATACCCTGCCGCGGTCTGGCTAACAAGAATGAGCATTAGTGACACGGCCACATACATGTACCAAAGACAGAAAAGTTATTCTCGCCAAACCAGAAGTATACGCTGGCAGTACTAGTTCCGCCCTCTTCGGTGCAAGGTGCGCGTGCATTTGAACAATTCGTGCTGGTCGCGCTCTCCCCTACTGCCCGCCTTTTGCTCTTCCCTTCCTAGCGGAAAACCTGCCGCCGTTCATGACCCGGGTGGCCTTCAATATTATTGACCGTTCGAAACAAACCATGGCACAGTAGATGTTGCCTGATCCCACCAAGTGCGCTGCACGCATACATCAGCAACCATTCACAGAGTTCACGTGTACTGTCAGGCCCCGTCTCGCAAATGCATACGGCGGCACTGAAATATCCCGCTCCAGTAGACGCAAAACGAGCTCCCGATCACTTTCACGCTGCAACACCATGCATTCGCACCCACCAATGCGCACGCATCCAAAAGGCAACAGAACAGATGCCCTGTTAATGGGGCGAATGCGTTTCTGAAATCATACTTGCTGGGCAAACCATCGCGTGATCACAGTCATGGAGACAGCCCTTGCCACACCGCGGAGGTACAGATACGAAACACCATGACCCCACGATGCCCTAGTATACGGGCCCGCTAGCTCTCCTCCCAAATATTGCGGATGCGCCTGTCAGTCGACGCAACTGATCAATGCCGGGAATGCGAAGCACCTCCATGCTAAATACCATATGTATGGCGGCGCAATCGGGTATTCCCCACTATTCACTGTTTTGGTTATCCGCAAAAGATCTACAATCATACAGGGAAGGGCAACGTGGCAGTGCTACTAAACGTTTGCAACAAGTAACCACGCAGTTGCTGCCGCCTCCTGCTAGGTGATGCACAACATTGATATTGCCATCGATATTTTCTCACTAATTCACTGATCGCGTCTGTAATTCCAGACTGTCTGCTTCGTAAACACACTTCGCAGTTCCGAGACTTCCAGCCCGAGCAGATACCAAAGCTCACAGCTAAGGTGGAAGAAACTCCCCCTTCTCCCACACCAACCTCCTAAATCCGTACGCACGCAGATATACGTCCGCGACTGCTCTCATACAAGCTGAGACGAAGAAAATCCTTAACTGCGCCGACCATATTAGACGCTCCCATGCGTGCACTTCCTTGGCGAAACGGCGAGCAATCGTAACGCGACAGAAGGCTTCACCACACCGCGGCCGTCAACGCCCACAAACATAACTGCAGGCAGCTCGCATATGCTCGTCAGATGTCTGTCCGCCAAATGTTGCGGGTACGTCAGGATATGCTGACGGAGCTGCGTCTAACCAGCCCGAGCGAGCCACGGCTAGGCTTAATAACAACTGCAGGACAAAGCAACAGTCTGCATGAGAATCCCTTTTGAGCACTGTATTGCGGGAGGATCAAACAAAATCGAAAATATT